CCGGCCCTTGTTTTAGGTTTTAATTTCTTTCTCTGCATTGTTTTCATTTCCTTCTTTTTGTTTCTTTTGGTTATGTTATGTCATATTAGTGTCTGTCATGTCATTTTAGACCTGTTTTTTAAATGTGTAGGGATTCTTGGCTCTTGACATTTAAACACCAGGCTAACTAAAAAGTTGATTGTACCTTAGTATCCCTGAGCAAGGCTAGTAGTGCACCTTACCAGAGCTGGGTGAGGGATTGATTGTGGAACAAACTGCTTGTTCACCAGGGGAGACCTCCAATTATCAGTGTGTCAGTATACAGAAGCCTTTAATCTGAGGCCATTGAGTTTCTCTCAAAAAGAATTCTTTTTTTGTTTTTTTTTTAAAGACAGGGTCTTGCTCTTGCTCAGGCTGGTCTTGAACTCCTGAGCTCAAGCAATCCTCCTGCCTTGACCTCCCAGAGTGCTAGGATTACAGGCATGAGCCACCACGCCCGGCCTCAAAAAGAATTCTTTAGCTTTCTGTCTTCTGGGTGTTGGGGTTCCAGGTGGTGTGCTTGTTTTGCCTACCTGCTGGAAGCTGGAAGGGAGCTGAGTAGGTGCACTTTCACTTAATCCCTATTTTCGGTCCTATACCTCAACCCATTCTCCTATCAGCCCTCCTCTAACACACGCTCCTCCCAGCGGCTGATGACTGTAGGGAGCCTCCAAAATTCAGTTTGTATATAAACTTCTGATCTCTGTTAATAGTGGATGATCACTTGGCTGTGAGATGTCGGGAAGGCATCTGGGACATGTGTAACCCCATATCTAGGCCCCTCAAAGTGACCCTCCTGTTGCTAGCTCAGCACCTTACCTTTTGTGATACCTTTGTGTTCGAGTACTGAGAGTTTCCGGGCTTTGGTGGAACAAATCTGCTTGCATCCTGTCTGCTTCTCTGCTGCAGGCACACACATGGTTTCCCTCTATTTTGATAAACCAGTTGCTACTTCTCCATCTGCTTTCTACTTTCTGAAAAACTGTGGGAAACTTTCATTCACTACCCCTCTGTTCCCATCCTCTTCTTGCAGGTTTATATCTTTCTGAATTTTTTATTCATTTACTATAATTTTTCTTGCACTTCTAGTATGAAAAGTAAATGGATAGCAATTTGCTTCAGTTTAAGTCTCATCTACTCTGTGTCTTTCAGAAATTTCTCAAATTTTCTCATTTGATATTGTCAGTGTTAACTATTTTGGGCATGTATGTGCATTTATTTTTATTTTTATATTTCTTCCATGCTTCCAGTTAAAATTTAGGAGGGGCCAGGTAAATGTATGGACCTGGCCATCATGAACTATTTAGAAATAATAGTTTACTTAATTTAGATCTGTTGTTACCTGTTTGTTATAAAAATCTTCAGTATAGGAACTTGTGGTAAACTGAAAATACCCTTGACCTTCTCAGCCTAAATTCTTTTCCACAAACATTTGAAGGTCATGAAGAAGGCTATTTCACAGCTATAATGTTGAAGAAATCGAGAGTGAAATTAAAAAACCAAGAGGTTATTCCTTTTCCAAGTACCAACATGATGAGAAACCTTTTATGTGTGAATGTAAGTAATTTTTGAAAGTTGACTTTTTAAAAAAAAAAAGAATAGACTTTTTTAATAGTTCTTCATGTTGTCCTTTTTTAAAATCATTGCTTTCAAGGAAAACTTTGCTCCTTATTTACCAAGTCTTTTAAGTAGTCTTAAAGAACTTTGTAAGTTTAGTTTTTACATAAATTTTAAATATGGACAGACTTGTAAAAATACAATTCTTAATCTATGAGATATTTTCCTAAGAATGTTTGAGAGTTTCCTAACATTCCACATTTACTTCCTGAAGTAATGTTTTTGCTTTCTGCTCTACACATGGTGTACTGTGTTGTACTCTATGAGACTTACAAAGATGAATCAAATAGATCTTGCTCTCATACAGTTTATAGATTAGTAAGGGAGAGTGTATACGTAGTAACTAAAATACAGGAAAGGCATAAATGCCACAGGAGAAGTGTAAGTGATGTTCCATGGAAGTTTAGAGAAAAGAGAGATGACTTTTAACCAGATTGTTTAGTGAGGGTTTCATGAAGGAAGTGGTGTTTGAATTGAGCCCTAAAAAGTACCCAAGATGTAGACATTAAGAGGAGCCTAGGTGGAGAAATCACTGTGAGTAAACCTTTGCAGGTTGGAAGAGGTGTGTGTATATGTACTCGTATGAATGAACATTCTATTCAGTTGAGTGCAGAGGACATGAAGAGGGTAGTTTGACAGGGGGTTGAGAAGTAGGTAGGATCCAAATTATAGAAGAGCATGAATGCTGAGTATGAATGAATTGGACTTGATTCTACAGGCACATACATGATGACACATAGTACATTATTGGTGTTTTAACTGCAGATGGTAAATGATTCTCATTCATTCTATTAACTGACATTTTTGAGTACTTATGTGCCAGGCCCTTAGTAATATAGCAGTAAATAAGAATCATATCTACTTACAAAAGACTTATAACTTTGTAGGAGGGAAATAACTGTGCTTTTAATTTAGTCTAGGGGGCCTTAAAGCAGTCTGTCCAGCATGCTATTGGAGTATAGAGGAGGGAGCCACAGATGGCCTGGGGACATTGGGGAAGGGCTCACAGTGGAGGTGACATCTGGGGTAGGTTGTGCTTGCTAAGCAGTTTTCTTTGGGGCAGGATTTCACTTTATACTTCTTTTGACCCAGAGGGGTGGGAATAATGTTGGCTATACAATTTCAGTTTAGTAAATAATATACCATTTGATGGAACAGTCTGCTGATTTTGTTAGCAAAGTTCAGCTCAGTGGGCAATTTTAATGACTCTTTATCTTGTTGCAGGTGAGTGTGTCAGGAAATGAACTTTGCCTTATGACTTCCCATTTGGAGAGCACCAGAGGGCATGCTAAGGAACGAATGAATCAGTTAAAAATTGTCTTAAAGAAAATGCAAGAGGCTCCAGAGTCAGCTACAGTTATATTTGCGGGAGATACAAATTTAAGAGATCAAGAAGTGAGTGACAAAGTCAGTTCAATGTTTGTGGGCAGGCTGGGCATGGTGGCTCACACCTGTAATCCATTAACATTGGGAGGCTGAGGTGGGAGGGTCACTTGAAGCCAAGGCTCTTGCTCAGGCTGGTCTTGAACTCCTCATCTCAAGGGATCCTCCTGCCTTGGCCTCCCAGAGTGATAGGATTATAGGCATGAGCCACCGCAATCTTTTCTGAGGTTTCCTTTTCTGTTCTGTTCTGTTCTGTTCTCTTCGGCTTTTATCAACCTTTTTTACTCCCTTTTCCGGCCACCTGTTCAGGTCACCAGGTCTGAAACAAAATCTTTCTCTTTCTCATTAGTTTAGTTGAGGCACATTTAGATTTTTCAGGACCTCAAAAAATTACACATAGAATTACTGTATGATCCAGCAATCTCACTTCTAGGTACATACCCCAAAGAAATGAAAGCGGGGACTTGAACAGGTATTAGGTCATTAAATATGAAATGTCCAATTTCAAATCAAAAGTGTAGTTTATTATATCTCAAACAAGAGGCAGTACAGTTAATCAGAGTATGTGCCAAAACTATCACCACAGTTTTGCCATCTTAACAGTAGCTTGTTTATGCAAGCAGCAAAGAAGCCTGGAGAGTGAGTGGCAATGAAATAGCAAAAGGCATTTTCCACAGCTTGTTGAGAATTGAATATTTTTCCTTGCAAGAAGTGGTGGTCAGTTAGTGCAAGGTCTGGTGAATATAGTGGATGACAGAGAGCTTCCAAGTCCAGCCTCTCTAGTTTGAGCAGCCTTATTTGTGTGACATGTGGTCGAATATTGTCTTGGAAGAGGATTGCCCTGTCTCATTGACCAAACTCGGCTGCTTAATTGCAAGCATCCTCATCATTTCATCCTGTTGGTTGAGTAGATAATCGATTGACCAGGTTTCATGAAGCTGTAGTGGATAATACCAGCGCTGGACCACCAAACAGACACCATAAGCTTTTTTTGATGAATATTCAGTTTTGGACTGTGTTTCAGGGCTTCATCTTTATCAAGCCATTGTGCTGAACACTTGGGATTGTCAAAAAGAATCCATTTTTCATTACACGTAATGATACGGGATAGAAATGGTTAGCCTTTATGTTGTGATAGCAAAGAAAGGCAAGCTTCAAGACGATTTCTCTTCTGGCACTCATTTAATTTATGCAGAACCCATCTATCCAGCTTCTTTACCTTAGTGATTTGTTTCAAATGGTCCAATATTATTGGAATAGTAATGTCAAATCTTGCTGCTAATTCATGTGTAGGTTGAGATGGATTCACTTCTACAGCTTTCAGTTCATCATCATCCACCTTGGTTTCAGGTTGCCCATGTGGCTCATTTTCAAGATAAAAACCACCAGAAGGGAACTTCTCAAATCATCAGTGTACTACTATGCATTCAAAGGCCACATCCTTCCCAAACACTTTGTTAATATATTGAGCTGTCTGTACTGCATTGGTTCCACGACGGAACTCATATTTGAAAATAACATGCATTTTTGACTTCTCCATGGTTTCACAAAAATTGCTTGTAAAAAAAAAAAAAATTGAAAGGTAATCACAAGCCAAACAGTGTGTTTTAAAGAATGAAGATGTACCTTCACAATAAATGTAAAACAAGAAGTATCAAAGTGAAATGTCAAGAGATATCAACTGTCTAACAGAATCAGACATTTCGTACTTAATAACCTAATACTTGTATACCCATGTGTGTCCACAGCAGTATTATTCACAATAGCCAAAAGGTGGAAGCAACCGAAGTGTCATTGACAGCTGAATAGACAAAATGTGGTATATACATACAGTGGAATATTACTCAGTCTTAAAAAGGAAGGGACTTTTGACAGGTTACAACATGGATGAATCTTATAGACATATGCTAAGTGAATGAAGCTAATCAGAAAAGGAGAGTATGTGATTCCTCTTTCATGAATTTCCTAAGCTAGTCAGATTCATAGAGGCAAAGTAGAATGGTGGTTGCCAGGGACTGGGGGTATAAAGGAATGGTAAATTAGTGTTTAATGGACACAGAGTTTCAATTGGGGAAGAAGAAAAGTTCCTGGAGGTGGATGGTGGTGATGGTTGCATAACAATGTGAATGTACTTAATGCCATAGCACTGTACACTTAAAAATTGGTTAAAATGATAAATTTTTTTTTTTTATTTCAGCATATTATGGGGGCACAGATGGTTAGGTTATGTATGATGCCCTTGCCCTCCCTCCCCCCAAGTCTGAGCTTCAAGTGTGTTCATTCCCCCGGAGGTGCGCATCGCACTCATTGTTTGTGCATATGCCCGTCCCCTCCTCCCCCTCCCCCCTCCCCCTGCCCAACATCCAATAAATGTTATTCCTATATGTGCACTTAAATGTTGATCAACTAATACCAATTTGATGGTGAGTACATGTGGTGCTTGTTTTTCCATTCTTGGGATACCTCGCTTAGTAAATGTGTTCCAGCGCTTTCCAGGAGTATACAAGAGGTGCTATATCACCATTGTTTCTTAAAGCTGAATAGTACTCCATGGTATACAAATACTACAGTTTATTAATCCACTCATGTATTGATGGACATTTCCGTTGTTTCCACATCTTTGCAATTGTGAATTGTGCTGCTATGAACATTCGAGTGCAGGTGTCTTTTTCATAGAGCGACTTTTGTTCTTTTGGGTAGATGCCCAGTAATGGGATTGCTGGATCAAATGGTAGTTCTACTTGTATCTCTTTAAGGTATCTCCATATTGCTTTCCACAGAGATAAATTTTATGTTTCATATATTTCATCACACACACAATTTCTTTTAATCCTGGAGTGTGAATGGAGAAGGAAGAATTAATATTGTTAGTAAATTTCAAATAAAACTGTGAGGGTAATTGACATTACCGGATCTTATAAATGCTACATCTCTAAATTTGTAGACTAGTTTTGCTGCCTTTTTCACTTGAATTCATTTTTTACAAACTACTAACAGCAGTAACAGGCCATGGGAATTGAGCTTTCTGAGTTTTATCTGACACCCAAAGTTAGGAAACCATGGCAGAAGAGAAGAGGCAAATCCTAAGCCTCCCTCGCTTTCTTATTATATTACCTACTTATTACCATGCAGCATAATTCTTATAATATATCTAGTTATTTTGAATTTGTACATTAATAACTTCTGACATTCTGATTGGAAGTGTTGCACTTAGACATGATAATAGCAAAGACATCTTTTCAAATTGAAAAAATGGGATGTAAATCTTATAGAGCATTCTTTTCCTTTTCAGGTTACCAAATGTGGTGGTTTACCCAACAACATTTTGGATATCTGGGAGTTTTTGGGCAAACCTAAGCATTGCCAGTATACATGGGATACACAAATGAACTCTAACCTTGGAATAACTGCTACTTGTAAGCTTCGTTTTGATCGGATATTTTTCAGAGCAGCAGCAGAAGAGGGCCACATTATTCCCCGAAGTTTGGACCTCCTTGGGTTGGAAAAACTGGACTGTGGTAGATTTCCTAGTGATCACTGGGGTCTCCTATGCAACTTAGATGTAATATTGTGAAATGCTTTCAAATACGAGTTTTAAAGGTAGTTTTATTTTGGGTTTTTGCAAATATAATTTCTACTTTCTGGAAAGGTAGGTTTACTATGGATGGAGGAATTAATGTACTGGATCATAGTAACAGAAAAAAAAACAACTATGATTTTATTTTGTGATTGTGTCCTCAGAATTCAAGATTAAAGATTAATGTTTATTTAAACTAAAGCATACCCGTGTTCAGAATGTGAGGTCTTTTAATGAAAAAGGCACAAAGCCTGTCAGAGTTCTTAATAGTGTTTATAGCTGCTGGCTGGATTACAAGCAGGGGCCACATTGTCTTTGGGCTAAATAAGTCTTCAAAAGAAAAAAGATGACTGAGTCTTTGGGACTGGATCTTTTAATTATATTTCATAAATTCAGATAATCTTAAATGAAAAAGGCATGATCATCTGTAGTTACGTAGATGACAACTATCCTACGTCAGACTTTATTTTTGTCAGCTAACAGTACATAATTGGTAAGGTATAAATGATTTGATTCATTTTTGTAGTTGTGTTAACCAACAGAGGCAAAGTTAGGCTTGATAATGATTGAAATCAGTTTTATAGCACCATGGGATTTTTTTGCTAAGACAAAAATAAATGTGTAAAGAGAAATAGCCTTCTAGTTTTGTTACTTGTGAAATGGAAATATAGGAAGTGAATAAAGAATACTTTTAAGTATGCTTTAAAGAAAAAGAATTTTTCCCTCAAGAGAACTGTACTTTAAATAAAGAATTTTACTTGTTCATAGTTTTAGTGTGTTTTTGTGTCCATGATGGAATTAAAGTTTTTCCCTGTTTCTGGCTCCTACTTCTTCTTCATGTGTAAGGAAACAGCTTTCCATGTTCCTTCTTACTGCACAAAGAATTACCAAGAATACTTTTGCTTCCTTAGTATAAAAAAAAGAAAGCCAGTGGGAATAATTAGAAGTAAAAGTAACAGAACTTTATTTTCATCAGGAATGCCAAAATTAAAACATCTAATAAAAGACAAATTGAATGTACATGTAATATTCCCGTTTTAGTGACAATGCAAAGTTTTATATATTAATCATTAAAAAGTGAGAATTGGTGTTAATATTTTAGCATGCATTATGGCGGTAATGCAGTAGTTCATTGCTGTGGGAAAAGGATCATTCTAGCACAAATTGCTTATTTATTTGGAAAAATCGTTAGAAGAATCACATTACAAAAAGAAAAGAGTGAAAGTCTATTAATATAAAAAAATTCAGTGTGATGAATTAAATAAAGGATTATTGAATTGTTTTAAAACCATGAAAGTATCATTTCCTTAACTTATAACATCCACTTGAATGCCTTCCTGTAAATTGCTTATAATGACAAAATCTAAAAAACAAGTTATAAGTGAAGTGCATAAGACCAACCAAACCACTTTTAGTCTGTTTTCATGAGCAACAGTTCTCAAACAATGAAAGAATTAAGAACCTATGAATTTGAGTTTTTTACTTTGAATCTTTTGAAGTTTTTCCCTTGTAGTACCTTCACTTACCTCCCTTGAGGAAATTCCAACTTGGAATCTCATATTTCAATGAGGCAACACCTTCAAAATGCTAAGCACCATTTTTGCCACTGATGTGGAATGTGCTTTAACCTTACTAAACCTCAGTTTTTCCCACCTTCAAAATAAGATAGTTCTTTGTCTTTTATTGTGTGAATGTTTCAACCAACAGCATAAACAAAAGCAAAGTCGAAAATTGTACTAAAGGATATATAATTTTGTCCTTAGTACCTATTGTAGTGTCTGGCATATAGCAGGAGCTCATTGAATGTCCATTGAATGCTGAAGAGAAGTGAAAGGTAGTGGCCTCATATCTGTGTCCTAAGGAGGCAGACATTTTCATACAGTACCAACTAGATATATACATTATAAATGAAAATAGATATTCATTTTAATGCCTCTAAGTTAAAAGGATGTTAATAGTTTAACATTCTGGGCTAAGTATATCTATATAGATGTGTATAGATAACGCTAGAAATACATTTATTTAAAAAAGCTAGTCAGCCAAAGACGACTGGGGACAAAATCGGATTTATCTACTCGAGACATTGAGAGCAGGCACTCCACAGGTACTGTGGAATGCCATATGAGAAGAGAAAGGAAATGTCTCTTGTAAGGTTTGGGTTCTTGTTAGAAGATTCTGAGGAGAATCTTGGAATCAGGGGTTGGCTCCAGTTGGTTACTGTTTCAGAGGCAGATTGGGAGAAGCTGGGATTAACTAGGGATTGGGTGTTATCATAAAGTGAAAGGAGTTTAGCAATTGGATATCCCCAGTTATGGAACAAAATAAAGTGAAGGGGGCATCAGTGGTAAGAAAGCAGTAGTTATCCAGAGAGGGAGTTGTTAAGGCATTTTATAGGGGCTGCATGACTTCAGAAGAAGTATTTCCTGTTAACTTTGCTTTTGACTTTGTCTTTCTTTGTCCTCCCAGCCTATTAGTGGGACTACCTTTTTCTTTTTTAGTCCGAGCTGATTTTCACCTTCAGTCTTGGACAGGTTTTTACTCTTTTCGATGCGCATTATCTCATTTAATTCCCACACTCATCCTATTGAGGATCCTATAATCCTTAATTTCAATTACAAAATGGAGATAATAATTGAAATTGAGGATTATTAGGATTATGTAATTTATCTGAGGCTCCTCCATAGCTAGAGAGTCTCCTAGTAGAGACTTACTTACTCATCAGGTCTGTGTGACTCAGTCCTAAGCACTGCACTCTACTTCATATGGGGATGAGGAGCCTGAGGCCTTGGGGCCACATGTGGCCTTCTGGATCCTTGAGTGCGGCCTTTTGACTGAATCCAAATTAATAAAGGGATTTGTTCTGTGAAGTTTGGATTCTGTGGAGAGGCCACACTGGGGGATCTGGAGGGCCACATGCGGCCTTGAGTCTTTCACGCGAGTTTTCTGTGGTTGACATTATCACCTTCCCCAAGACACTTGGCACCCTGTCATCCTGCAAAGCCTGGAGTTGATCTGCGCCCCTCCCAGCATAGGTTTCTGCCCTCAATCAGAAGGCAGCACGTGCTCAAAATGAAAAGATAGTTACGGAGCAGAGCCCAAAGAGACTCCCGCTGGTGGTACTTGTGTAGCTGTGGTGATTTTGCTTCGAGGGACACATTCACGAAGGGTCGTTGACTCAGTGCGCTCAGGGCTTCCTTGAGGCACCCTGGCCCGGGGAATTAATTGGAAGGAGCGTTCATTCCCCAGACCGGTTGGGGCCACGGTGGCAGGGAAGCGTTGGGTTAAAAAAAGGAGGTGGGAGATGATGGCCGCTCTGCTTCCCGAAAGCCGTCCTCTTCGTCCCCTGTTGGGTGGGAGTCCGTCCCCCCGGTGCTGGTCTACAGAGCTCAAGCGGGGAGCTGGGCAGGGGCGGCAGCCGGCGCCCGCCCATCCCTGGGGGTGCGTGTGCGCGTGCGCGCGCGTCGCCGTGGTAACCGCGGCGGCGGAAAGGCGCTGAATCACTGGCGCGCGCTTTCCCAGCGCCTGCAAAAGCTGCGGTGGGCGGGGATCCCCCGGGGTGCAGCCTTGCTGAACTGGTGCTTTCCGCCGCGGGCCTGGCTGGCCCGGCGCTGTCGCTGCTGGAGGTAAGAGCGCAGTAGTATCCTCAGCCTGCCTGGGGTTTGGTCCAGAGTCGCTCCTCTGGGGCTGTGTCCAGGGGAGGAGGATGCGAGGGTTTTGCTCTGGTGGGGCGGTACCTTTGACAGCAGTTGCGCGCGCGAGGGTGTGAGTGTGTGTGTGTGTCAGACTGGCGATGACGACGAAGAGGAGCAAGCGGGACGGCGAGTGATGCCCCGGGCCAGAAGCACCGACTGGGGCGAGCTTCAGTGTCACCAGCCGTGACCCCAGGTATCTACTTCCCAGCCCGACTGGCCGAGTGAAAGGAAGGGAGGGCAGCAAGTAGGCAGGTTATGCCGAAGAAAAATAGAATCAAGACACCCTGAATTCAGGAGGTGGATTTCTTAAGATTCTTCTAAACACCTAGGAAAGGGCATTTCCCCATTCCTGCACTGATTGTTTCTTAGTAGGGTGGAGTCGGGGAAATTTGGGTGTTTTTTCCTCAACGTCACGAATTGCATTTCATAGACCTGAAAAATCGTTTTCTGTAAACTTCATTAAGTACTATTTATGTGATCTTTGCTATCATTTGCTAAATGCATTTTGTCTCTGTTCCTTACCGTAATCTGGAGCTTAAAACCTTTAAAAGGCTTTCTCTTCTTCCCTTTGAATTCCCTCCAAGGAATGTCACAAATTAATCGGAAGCAGAATAAACCCGAAATCATGAGAGTCATCATTCTTAAGATCATTTGTTCTCATAATTATATAAAGAGAGGAAAAATATGATATACATACTCATGTACATTTTTATTGCTGGTTTGTTCATCCAAACATTTTTGTTTGTGGGTTAAACGTTGGTATTTTTTTTTCCAGTGCTTGAAAAGTTGAATGATGTTTTTGATAATAATAGAAAAAATAAATTGTAGACAACCCCCCCAAAAAGCACAAGAATTTTTGAAGTGAATTTAGTGTTTATTTCTTTATTCCTAAAATACATGTTCAGTGTCCAAATGCTTTAGTTTGTTTCTATTATAAGCAGACCACAATCACAGAGACTGCTGAAGTTATGCCAAACGTAAAATTGTATTTTGTGCTTATTATTTTATGTTTTTAATACCGATGAGGAAAACTGGAGATATCAATTCAGTTATAGACTTAAGAGTCATAGAGAAAGCTGAATTACTCTGTGATTTGAGAAAGAGAAATATAAACGTATTATATGAGGACTTTTAGAACCGCAGGTGATAGACTTATCACACCTTTGTCATGTAAAATACCAAGGCAGGAACTTAATTTCCTTTCAGATTAATGACAATAATTCAGCCCAAATGTTTATGAATTAAAAATAGTACTTTCCTAGGAGTGATAAAGAAACAAACAAAAATAGTCGAAAGAGAGCTTTCGTAATTTAATAACATAGAAGAATAGATTTACTGTTAAATTTTGTTGACTTATTTTTTTTCCTAGACAAACCAACAACAAGCATTCTTTCAATAAATACAGTAAATCCTTACGTAATGTTATCCATAGGTTGTTGGAAACTGTGACTTTAAGTAAAAATGACACATAATGAAACCAATTTTATGCACTCACACACCCGCACTCACTCACACTGGGACCACGTAAACAACAGTAGTGAACCCAAAGGGCATAGCTTTGGAATGTGGGAGGAAACCTGAGTGCCTGGAGAAAACCTATGCAGACATGGGGAGAACATGCAAACTCCACACAGACAGTGGCTCTTGTTGGGAATCGATTTTTTTTCTCACCAACTGTAATGAATTGAAGTTATTTGAGGACCTGCTACATGTAGAATGAGGCATGCTGTTTCTGGGGCAGTGCTGTAAGTTGCCAGGTCAGATGGCCTGGGTTTGGTGGTGACTCTGTCACTTAGTAGCTGCGCCATATTTAGCAAATTCCCTAACCCTCTAAGCCTCAGTTTCCTCATCTGTAAAATAAAGATAAGAATAGGACCTACTTAATAGAATTCCTATAAGAATTAAAGTAATAAATATAAGAGCTCTTTGCTCATTGCCTGGCATACAGTAACATCTCAATAAAAGTTAGTTATTATTTTTGAGATAAGTTTTCAGGAAATATTTTCCATACCTTCAAAATAATTTGGCATTCAAAATATAGAATTATTTTGCTGGGACCATAGCTTGTTCTGATTTATGATGTCAAATCATTATAAAATGAATAAATTTTTCCTGGCTGGATGTGGTGGCTCATGCCTGTAATCCTAGCACTTTGGGAGGCCAAGGTGGGAGGATTGCTTAAGCCTGGGAGTTCGAGACCAGCCTGAACAAGGGAATGTCTCTACAAAAGATAGAAAAATTATTAACAGCTGGGCATGGTGGCATGTACCTGTAGTCCCAGGTACTGGGGAGGCTGAGGCAGGAGGATTGCTTGAGCCCAGGAGTTTGAAGTTGCATTGAGCTATAATGACATTACTGCACTCTAGCCCAGGCAACAGAGCAAAACCGCGTCTCAAAATTAAAAAAAAAAAAACAAAAAAAAAAACACATAAATTTTTCCTTGCAATATTTTTATAACGACAATAACAAATATAATAATCATAAGTATAAAGTCATGTCAATTTAATATTTAGGTAATTTATTTAATACCCTGAGGAAGGAGCTTTACTTTAGTAGGCCTAGAATAATTGGTAAGTTATTGTTCTGTTTTTATTTATTTTAAATTTTTTTTTTAGAGGCAGAGTCTTGCTTTGTTGCCCAGGCTGGAGTGCAGTGACACAATCATAGCTCACTGTAGCCTCGAACCCCTGGCCTCAAGTGATCCTCCCGTGTTGGCCTCCTAAAGCACCGTGATTACAGGTGTGAGACACTGGGCCTGGCCCTATTTATTTTTTAAGATCTATATTTTTAGATATTATTCATGTGAATTAAACAATGAGAAAATATTTTCTCATTTATTTTTATTAAGCAGTAAAAATGGTTGAACTAAGATAACATCTGTTTTCTCATCATTTTGCAGTCTATTAACAGATGTTTGAGTTTCAAAGTAAGGATTCTTAAAGAAATGACACACAAATAGGTAAAGGTATGGTGTTGGAGTTTTAGTTCTGTTCTCTTCTATGTAATATTTAGATAATAAATAAATAAATTTAGATAATAAATTTATAATAAATAAATAAATTTAGATAATAATTCTAAATAAGAATTATGTTGCCTGCCAACTCAGTAGCCATTCTTTTCTTTAAGTTCAGAAAAACAAGGGAATCTAGTAAATATTTAATTTAAGCAATGTTGCTTCAATAAGAGGATAACTCAGGCCTCAAAATAAATTTTCAAAGTTGGAGTCATTCTGTGCTATAAAATATCAGAATTATAAGTATTGAGGGTGAATTAACTCCATTGTTGCCGCTCACAAGCATTACAGTGCATAGTACATAGTATGTTTTTTCATGTGGTAGTGAGAAAGTACAGGCTACTCCTTCCTGGGATAACAAGCCTATTTTTCTAGGATTGTGACTCTACCAGCATACCTTACCATCTTTTGCTGTCGTCATTAAGATGAAGTATAGGATGTGTAGCTGTGCTGTCTTGTGGTCAATACAACATAGTTGCTGTAAAAATTTTTTCAAAATAACCCTTTAAGAGATCTTATTTTCAATAAAACCGAATCTTTACTATGTCAGTACTTATTTGTACTTATCAAGAGGCTAAAATGTTTTGTTAATTCAATATTTTCAACTTTCTTGTCATAAAGTTACTACTAAATATCCAAATTCTAGGTGCCAAATGCTCAACATTTTATCGTAACATGGGAAAGTCCTTCTCCCCATACACATAATGTGTTTCCGTGAGTATGCTACAGGCTGACTAGTCTTCATCTCCTTCCATCAGACTTTCCTGTCCACTGCTATGTTGCAGCCATTCTTCCTAAATCTGGAGAAACTTCTTCTGACCTCATTTTACTAGACTTTTTCCACCCATTTGACCGTTTTCACTTTCTTGAAACAAGTTCATCTTTTAGTTCATGAGTGCTATCCTTTAAATCTGGGATTACCTTTAGAAAGCAGATTAATGAACCTGTCACTCTCCTGCATGTAAATCTTTAATGTCATGTCCATCAGGGATGTATGGATTAACAAAATGTGGCATATGTACACAATGGAATATTATTCAGCCTTCAAAGAGAAGGAAATTTTTATACATGCTACAACATGGATGAAACTTGAAGATATTAATAAGCCAGACACAAAAGAATAATATTGTGTGATTCTATTTACGTGATACATTTAGAATAGTCAAATTCACAGAGACAGAAAGTAAAAAGTGGGTTTTAGGAACTGGGGGCAGAGGGGAACAAGGTATTATTATTTAATGGGTATAGAGTTTCAGTTTGAGATGATGAAAAAGTTCTGGAGATAGATAGAGATGAAGGTTGCCACTGAACTGCACATTTAAAATTGGCAAATGTAATGTATATTTTACTACAGTAAAATTTTTTAAAAAATATCTTTGACGTCTCCCCAAGACCTACTAAATGAAGTTGCAGCTTTCTTAATGTGACCTATAGAGTTCTTTAATATTTCTTCTTACTCTACCTTTTCATCCTCTAATCTCATCATAACCCACACATATCTACATTCCATCCGTATGGAACCACACTCAAAATGTCATCCCTTGCAAGATCGCATGCCTTTTTTGTGCAGTCAATTCCTACAGCCTAGAATGCACATTTCTGAAGGTTCCCTAATCCCTTTATCCCTCTTTCCTTGATGGCATTTCTTGCTTGCTTGGCAAGCCTCCATTATATCACTTATCCCATTACTGTATAGTGTAAGCTTCGATAGAGCAGGGACTATGTTTTATTTTTAACATGTAGATTTGCTTAAAAAAATTTTTTCCTGCATGGCCACCTGTTTGTTGGAAAGAGTCTGCCAGGCTGGTAGAAGTCCCCACCAGACCTGTTTTATTCATCTTTGTATTACTAACATATAGCTCCGAGTTCATTCATAATAGGTGTTAAATAAATGCTTTTTGGAGAACTCTGTGGAACTTGACTATTTTTGTGTTCCTCTGCCTTGTCTTTGATAATGTGTAATTTCTTAAATAAGACAAATTAATTTTGTCTCTGCATTTAAAACTAACAATGTATTTCCCTTCTTCTCCTTTTTTTTTTTAACTGTTCACATTAATTATTTTGCTTGTCTTTTGAACATTCAAGTAAGTTTTCTTCCTATTTGGTAATAGATGGTTGTCCTGACAGCATTTATTAAGCAGTAATTCTCATCCTATTGTTTTTGTTACTTCTAGTTTGTT